TATAAAAATAATGATAAAAGTAATTGTAATCATTTCGTATACACCTGTACACACTTATGAACAGACGAAGTGGCCGACTGACACTGTCCATCTACTATATCGTTACACGCTTGCACTATTCTCAATTTCGATTTTCAATGTCGTCAACAGTTACTCAGAACGAATGGATAGGTGCTTTGTTCACAATGCAAACAGCAACGCAGTAGCAACTGCTGATCTTGGAAACACGGATATTTCAAATATCCGTTTCTAATTCTCGATAAATTTAAAAGTAAATATCTCTTGAAGGAAGCATTTGCGAATATACAGTAAATTCACTCTAATTGTCTATCAGCTTGCAAACTAAAAGCGAACAATTTGGAAAGAGGAGATGCGAATATTCGAGCATCGCGTTTCGTTTTCGCATCTCCTCTTCCCAAATTGCCCGTTTTCGTGTACAATTTGAGGGACAATTGGAGAGTATTTACAGTACTTCCAGTGGAAAAATCTGTTTGTTCTAAAGTCATAAATTGATACCTAAAACTTTAGGTGTCAATTTAGGACTAAAATTGTGATACCTAAAAACAATTGATACCTAAAACTTTAGGTGTCAATTTAGGACTAAAATTGATACCTAAAACAATTGATACCTAAAACTTTAGGTATCAATTTAGTATTAAAATTGATACCTAAAAACAATTGATACCTAAAACTTTAGGTATCAATTTAGAATTTTGCGGTTCAACTCGGGAACGTCGCGTATAAATAATCTTGAGTACTTTCAATCGTCCCGTTGTTCCAAATTTGACCAACCAATCTTTCTCACGACCGCATAAAATCCGCAGATCTAAATATTGGTATTACTGCAAAAATCGCTTTCGTAACATTCGTTCAGTCGCGAGGGTGAGCGGAATTGCGGTAGCCGATCGGTCGTCGAAATCTAAACTCGAGCACGTCGTCGGTCCCGCTTCGCCGGTAGCCGGCGTTCTTTTATCTCGCGATACACCCGAGTCGCAGCGTGTCGATCTCCAATTTGATCCCCCCTCCCTCCTCGAGAAGATCGTCCTTGTACCCGAGTAGCAGCGGCTTATCAGAATCGTTACGCGAAACGAACATACAAGAGCGTCGGCCAGGGGACCCTAACTTTCAATCCGGCGAGGTTAAGCGAGATCGCGGAGTCGATACCGTGGCCGGCGATCTTGGCGGCGTCACGGCCGATGATAAATCGACGATCCATCGCGGCCCGCGGATCGCCGCGGATCTGCAGCTCGCGGGATTTCGGATTTTACGCGCGCAACCGGCCGCTGATACCGAGCGACGCGCTCTCTTATCAGCCAGAAGTCACACGATAAACCCGTCGACGTTTATTCTCCACATAATCGCGAGTCTCCGCGACGTGGTTATTCAATAGGCAGAGCTAATCTGCCGGACCACACGCCGAGGAAACCAGAATCGATCGAGAAATCTGCGCGTCGATCGCCGAAAATCTGCGAGAACGATGCCCGACAAATTCTATACTATAAATCGATCGCCGATTTATGATGGACATTTCTTCAGAGAAATTCAATTCGATCGGTCTTTCAATAGCGTTCGTGCGAAAGAATTACTACAAATTTCCTGCATCAACGAAACGAATATTTTCTTCTCATTTCAACGATTTCATCAAGTTCTCGAGTTCTTTCAATCTTTCTGTCGTTTCATTATCTCTTCTCGGTTTTCTCTCTGTTCCTGGAATTGTATTTCGTTTAGCCGAGATTTTCCGTAAAAATCGGCAAATCGTCTAGACCGAAGCGTTTACGTTTGGATATTACATTCAAGATAATTTACGTAACATAATATTACCGAATATCAATCTCTAGATTAAATCTACGTATTTATATTTACACGTATCATACGTGAAATACGTATATTTATATGTATTATATTTATAAACGTACTCGGTTATATGGAGTAAGATCTGAAAATTAACACTATTTTATCGGAATTATATTTATATCGGAATTATACATATTATTGTATTTATCGGAAGCCTATTAACAAGCTTGTTTTCAATGACTGTACTGCATCGAAGAGAATAATTTCAGATAATTCTCTTCGAAATAATAATTTCCAAAGAGCTCGTTAGATTGTATCAATCTGAATAATTTGATGGATCGTGGATGTGTGATTATTGTGATTTTTCGAACGATTCTATAAGAAATTCGTGCAGCTGTTGATCCTCGATTTTCGAAGAGCTATTAAAAAATCTGCCGGTCGATAAAGCGTTAAGATGCAGAAGCTTGTCGACGATAAAAAGCGAGACAACAGAACGATATAATTTTACCGCATTGTAACCAAAATCGAAGTTAACATTGGAAACGCAATGATAAAGATGCACAGAGCAACGAAAGGTTGAAATTTGTCAATTCGATGAATTTACAACGGCCGCGACCGTAGCGCTAATAGTTGCATGCAAATCGGAGAGATGTCTTTCGTGGCAGACGACGCTGATAAGCCGGTGGATACACCGGCAACCATAAGTCACGAGACACCTGATTATACGGTAGACACAGATTAGGCGGTGCAGCGTATTTTTGAATCCCGGTGCGAGCCTCGTTTATTTGCGATCTTTTTATAAATAGACGGCGGTTATTTATGCGTGTACGATAAACTTCAATTTGTAGGATGTACGGGAATGATTGCGTCGGCAAATGTTTGCCATTGCTCTACCTTGTTTTTACCGTGGGGACGATCGCGGAGTCAAACAGTCGCGAAGACGATAATACGTATCGTAGAATGCGGTGCTAACACGAACGAATTTCCAGTTTCCGAAGCTGCGATGCACGAGGTTAATGTCTTTGATGAGCACGCGACGCCGATGACGAGCACTTGGTGTCTATGCATAGTGCAGTTGCTTATTAGAGCACCTAGATCAGCGTCTATAATAATCTCCAGAAGTCGAACACACCTACGCATCGCTTCGATAAAAATTGTCAAGCGAGAGAGAACTGTCTTGGAATCAACGTTTCGAGGGAACGAAGACGATCCGACTGTTCTGTCCTCGATGAAATTGTTTCTTGTGCGCGATTTTATTAAACGAACATGAAGGAATTAGCTAAGTCTGCGCCCGTAAAGCGGTAGCATTTCACACCGACCGTATGAAATCGCGAATTTCGAAGGCATCAAGATGAAAATTATAATTGTAAGGAAATAACAAACACCTCGCCTTCGGCTATCATGAAAGCAGCTGTTTTTTGGGTACGATTTTGCTAAAAAAGTGCCGAAATTATTAGCTAAACCGTATCTTGATCGGATAGAGTGCTGAGAAGAGCAACAAACACGTTCTAAAATTATGGTTCCAGCGATGACACCTAGCTTTCTTCTAACGTCAAGACAGTTGTTCTTTGGGTGCAATTCTGCTAAGTGAATATTGAAAAAATAGCTAAACCGAGTCTTGATTAAATAGGAGGCTAAAAACAGCGGCGAACGCGTTCATCCACGAAGAATTCGGCGAAACTGATAAGAACCAGGGTTCCAGCAGAAGGACAGACTTCCAGTCCTGACCTATCCTGAACGAAGTAGCTTTTATGGTGCAATTTAGAAATAAGTGGGTTAGAATCGTAGGTGGCGTAAGTCACATTTTCCTCATTGTGCGAAGCGAGGAGTGTTATTGTTTATTAACATGCGTGTTGTTCGCTGGCCAAATTTATTGTTAAGATGATTTACAGTTAATCTAATTTATGACAACTTTATCATTTATTTCACTTGTTTTTTTAACATTTTGGCAGGTACAGATTACATTTTAAGATAGGGTCCCAGTTGCAAAGGTTGTCCGGAGTAACGTTACTATCATTTCTTTCAACGATAATCACAATAATATGTGAAGAAATCGTAAACGACGACATTTTAATACAACATTTGATATTACATTAATAGAATAAGATCGTTCAAGTACTCCACTAGTTTACTGCAAGCTCTAAAACAACTATTAAAAGATACTTAGTTGCGTGTTTGTCGGTAACTTTCGGTATAAATTTTTCGGTCTACTAAAACAATGTTTTTGTACCACAGAAATCATTCGATTTTATAAAGAAACTACGAACATTAACATTTCTTGTACAATTATCGAATAAATAGAGCAGCGTATAAAACTGGTACACGTTTCGGAACATATCGCATTTACCGTCACTTCGTGATTAGTATATATAACCTCATGCGCTATGTTTAATACAATTTACATACTTTAATAGTTCAATTTAAGTCGAACAGGTTATCAGAAAGTTAATTTAGTATAGATATATTAAAAAATGAGTGAAATCAGAAATATTTGGGTCTTATCGGTGTTTCGGTAACGATAACTGACGATAGCTTTTCGAAGCATCGGTAATTGGGACACTTACATTATTTTTATTCTACATTAATTTCACATCAAATTTAAGCCTTCGACGTTCCGAAAATATTTCGTTTAATAACAAGAGAACTAAACAATGCGAACTACACAAGAAACAGTTCACTTTCATGTAAATTTCAGGTGAGAACATAGGATTGTTGCACAAGTAATCTCGCGTTTCCAAACGGATGGCTTATAAAAAAACCGAAATTATTTTTGCAACAACCTAGTATACGGATGAACGAAAAATTATGCTTAACACTAGAACTACCGAGTATATGTATATTGTTTTCTAACAATGCCAAGATTGGTTTTATTTAAACTACCTACGATTTTTATTATAATATATGCTTGAACGAAGAAACTCGTATAAAAATTTCTGACAAAAACGTCGTTACAATATCGGAGATTGCAACAACAAGAAAAGAATTGATTGGTTTGGTAATTCTAGCGTTGACGTGTCGATAACTGGGACCCTTATCCTACAAGTCAAAATTGTCGAGAATCTGATTTACGCCATTACGATTCTGAGCCACTGGAATATCGAAAAATCGGCGAAACAGTTCTGGAGGCACGCGGAGCGTCGAAACGCGCGGTGTTTCGTAAAAACGCAGGCAGCTGAAGTAATAGGGTTCTGAATAGACGAAAGTACCTCGGGAATAAGCAAAGTTCCACAGACCGATCATCCGTGATTCCGTTGTTACTCTCGGTGCAGCCGGCAGTAGTCCGCCGTGGCTAAACGAAAACCAATCGTTTCGCTGGTCCCGATTGACTCCGCGCTGTCCGATAACGATCCGGGATCACCAGCCGGCGCCGATATCATCCTCGTCATGTCAACCGGCGAAAATGATCCTGTTTCGATGACGACGTCGAAGAGGAATATCGCGATAAAACCCCTGCAGAGCCCTCGCTTGCCAGAGATAACGTTCGCTCTTGGCTGCTGCTGCTGCTGTTGCTGCTCGATAGTCCTTTCTGTCCTTCTCTTCTAGCTGCTTTTTTTAGCCTACCTTGTTCTTCTCGCTATTCTCTCTCTCTCTCTCTCTCTCCTTTCTCTCTCTTCTCGTTCGTTTGAAACTAGATTACAATTCGACGCTTCATAGAACGGAAACAAGTGAATCACTGGGCCCCGGTCCGCCGCGTTTTATCCCGTTTCCGCGACGATTCGTCTTCTCTCTCCGTCCCGTTCTCGGCGACCTCCTCGTCGGACGATGCGTCGACGTTCCGTCATTACGACGGCCGAACGACCGTCGACGCGTGTGTCCGACCGGCCCGGGCTTTCTAAAACACAGGAGAAACAGCCTCGGCAGTCTGCGACAGACGAGCGTAATTGCTGCTGCTGCTGCTGCTGCGAGATCTCGAAGACCTTGAACCTACGCTACGATCCTTCGCACTCGATTATGCTCCGGCCGCTGTCACACGCGGACGTCCATGAAACTGGACAGCGATGCTTACAGATGGATATCTTTCATAGATCGTTCGCCACTCGGGAAACTTGCGAAATCGGAGTGGTCGAGGCACACGGGGTTTGCGATAGCAATTGTTTAGTGTTAGAAGAACGAACGAGAAGGGAGTCCTTCAATTTAGGCTACGATGCCGGATCAAAGAGACGCTTTTAGTGCCCTTCTGTCTCCGATGGCACGTTCCGTGGACGGTTTAGCACTCGGAGGCTCCCAGGACCTCTTATCTTTCGAATATTAATGTCACTCGAGAATAAATGAAGTAATTACTCAGCGCGCCGGTGTTCCCGTGCGATTTGGAGCACAAATCTTCGGGAGATCGTCGACGAACGTACACTTACAGGCTTCTCGGTCGTCCAAGATCGGAACGTGCTTCACGACCGAACAATTGATATCGAGCTCCTGTTGCACTTTTAAATCGGTCAACGATTTCAAACCGCGAACGTTTGACAGCGCGTCTACGCTCAAACGTCTATGCGACAGAATCGTGTACAACCTACGACGATCGTGTAAATCCACCAGCTTGGGGAACGATACCGAACCCCATCGATTTTCGCCCCGATGCATCGATTAAAAAAATCTCCCTCGTCATCCGAGAGCGTTCGACGGCACGTCTCACGGGGACCTCTATTTTCCGCCACGTTCGAATCACTGGACAAGACACGATAGTCCCCAGAGTCCTCCTCGCAGCTGTAATCCCGTGGACCACTATAGCGGTTGTGAATGGTAGCACCGGGAGTTCAGTTCGCAAAAAGGATCACTGCGACGTCGCGGCGCGGCGCGGCGCGGCGCGGCGGTTTCGATCTCGTAAGACGGATCGAGGGATCTCTCGGCGGTTCAGCGGCGAGACACGGTCGGTAGGATCGAGGATCTACGANTCCTTTCTCTCTCTTCTCGTTCGTTTGAAACTAGATTACAATTCGACGCTTCATAGAACGGAAACAAGTGAATCACTGGGCCCCGGTCCGCCGCGTTTTATCCCGTTTCCGCGACGATTCGTCTTCTCTCTCCGTCCCGTTCTCGGCGACCTCCTCGTCGGACGATGCGTCGACGTTCCGTCATTACGACGGCCGAACGACCGTCGACGCGTGTGTCCGACCGGCCCGGGCTTTCTAAAACACAGGAGAAACAGCCTCGGCAGTCTGCGACAGACGAGCGTAATTGCTGCTGCTGCTGCTGCTGCGAGATCTCGAAGACCTTGAACCTACGCTACGATCCTTCGCACTCGATTATGCTCCGGCCGCTGTCACACGCGGACGTCCATGAAACTGGACAGCGATGCTTACAGATGGATATCTTTCATAGATCGTTCGCCACTCGGGAAACTTGCGAAATCGGAGTGGTCGAGGCACACGGGGTTTGCGATAGCAATTGTTTAGTGTTAGAAGAACGAACGAGAAGGGAGTCCTTCAATTTAGGCTACGATGCCGGATCAAAGAGACGCTTTTAGTGCCCTTCTGTCTCCGATGGCACGTTCCGTGGACGGTTTAGCACTCGGAGGCTCCCAGGACCTCTTATCTTTCGAATATTAATGTCACTCGAGAATAAATGAAGTAATTACTCAGCGCGCCGGTGTTCCCGTGCGATTTGGAGCACAAATCTTCGGGAGATCGTCGACGAACGTACACTTACAGGCTTCTCGGTCGTCCAAGATCGGAACGTGCTTCACGACCGAACAATTGATATCGAGCTCCTGTTGCACTTTTAAATCGGTCAACGATTTCAAACCGCGAACGTTTGACAGCGCGTCTACGCTCAAACGTCTATGCGACAGAATCGTGTACAACCTACGACGATCGTGTAAATCCACCAGCTTGGGGAACGATACCGAACCCCATCGATTTTCGCCCCGATGCATCGATTAAAAAAATCTCCCTCGTCATCCGAGAGCGTTCGACGGCACGTCTCACGGGGACCTCTATTTTCCGCCACGTTCGAATCACTGGACAAGACACGATAGTCCCCAGAGTCCTCCTCGCAGCTGTAATCCCGTGGACCACTATAGCGGTTGTGAATGGTAGCACCGGGAGTTCAGTTCGCAAAAAGGATCACTGCGACGTCGCGGCGCGGCGCGGCGCGGCGCGGCGGTTTCGATCTCGTAAGACGGATCGAGGGATCTCTCGGCGGTTCAGCGGCGAGACACGGTCGGTAGGATCGAGGATCTACGATCGCGGCGGCGTCGGCGGCGGCAGCTCACGATCCCGCTTTGGGCCGTTCTCTCTCGGTCAGGAGCGGCACGATCGTCCGCGCGCCGCGAGTAGTATTCTCCGTCAGCGAAAACGTTCACCTTGACCAGGCTCGATCGGCGATTTACACGCGAGCCTGCAGCGGCCGGCTGGGCGGATCGGCGAGCACGGACGGGCGAGCGGGCGAGCGTTTAACACGATCAGAACGATCAGCATCCGAAGGACTCTGTCGCGATGCGATGGCCTGCCGCGCGCGCGGCAACGACACCCGGCAAACGACACGCAGCAACGCGACCGCGAGAAAAGAGAGTCTCTTCTCTCGGCCGGCTCGCACCGACTCTCGCCACCATCGAAAACCTACTTGCTCCCGGGAGAGCAGTGCGGCGTGTTTCGTCACTCTGCACTGGCGAGACGATAATTTCAGAGGCGATTAGATGACCCAACGCCGACGATAGCTAACGAGACCGTATTTTGCGGATCAGCATGGCTCTCTCTCATTCTCTCTCTCTCGCTCTTTCTCTCTTTGACTCTGTATTGCTCCTTCTTTACCGCGTCTCTTTCTTTCCGTCTCTATCTATCTCCTCCCACCTTCTCTCTCTCTCTCTTTCTCTCTCGCTGCTTCCTCTTCGCTCGTCCCCTTCTACCTAGTCCCGCCTCTCTCTCTCTCTTTCTCTCTTTCTCTCTTTTTCTCTCGCTCTCCGTCTCGCCGCGTCGTGGCCCGACTTTTTCCTCTCTCGCGCGTTTTGCAAATCGCCGCTACGGACGATCGCCACGGACAACGGATACCAAGATCTCTGGACCCCGCCAGTCTCTTTCATCCTCCACAAGCGCTACCACCGGTTTTTTCATGCACCGTGCTATCCTACGACCGGCCGGCGTCGGGTTAAACTGCGCCAAGGACACCGGAGGGATTCGAGCGAACCGCTAATCCTCTCTTTCTTTCTACGAGAGCTGATTTTTCCTGCGAGTTTCGCGGATCCCAGGCATTCCTGGACCCCCTCGTCCCTATCGTGCCGTGCCCGGGATCGCTCTATCCGCGGTCTCCCGATGGACTTTCTTCGCTCAAATTATGCCACGCCAAGGACGCGCCGGAGAATCGCCGACAAAACTAGTTCAGTATTTTCGACGGAATTTTGCTCGACGAGTTTCGTTATTTTTTCTTTTTTTTTCTTTTTTTTGGTAGTTTCGGCTACTTTCGTACGCCGACTTTTCGGCTATTGTGCCCTCCTCGGAGACGGAGGAATTAAATTGTGCGACGTCGAGGACGCAGGACCCGACCGGTGCATTGGAATTTCAGTTGTGAACATCGTTTGTTCCGTGTTTTTTTTTTATTTCTCCGTTTATGCCGATCGTTGGTTTTCATTGCGATGGGCCATCTCGGGAAGCGAGGTTTAAATCGAATCGAGTCAAGGCCACAGGAGAGGCCGCCTCTTTGTCGCTCTCAGCAGGCTTTTCTTCGTCCACGTGTCTGGCAAATCGCTGGATCAGGTGTTCGCGACGGCCAATGGATACGGAGATTCTTGGGTTATTAAATTCCTAGTTCAACCCCCTGTTTTTGATAAATTTATCGAACCGATGGTATCATAGTATAGTAGTATACTATGGTATATAGTATAGTAGTATAGAGTATAGTGGTATATAGTATAGTATAGTACGAGCAATCAGGTTCAAACGAAACGAAATTAGTTAGTTAGTTAGTTAGTTAGTTAGGTGATTTTTGATAAGGGATAAACAGTGTCCAAGGCAATAACGTTACCAAACAAACTTCTCCTTCCTGAGGCATCGTGCAAATCACCTAACACGATTCTTGATCTCCTAACACTTCCGATCCTCTGTTCAAATAACCAGCTGTCTCATCACGGTCTTCTTCAACGACCAATCAAGTTCGCATTAGCATCCTCCAGGAAAAACTGACTCAACCTCAACAGGACTTCTCCTCTTTCGCGTGTTCGGCTAATTACTCGAGAGGTCATTCTATGTAGATCCCCTAACGCTTCCACGTCCATTCACCGCTTCTACCAGTCTACCAGCCCTCTTTCATCCTATCAATCGCTTTCTACCTATTCACTAAATTTCTTTCGCTATCACTCTACAACCCGAGGTGATTCTATGTTCGTCTAGAGAGTCTCTGACTCTCCTATCCCGTATTCACCGATTCTACCTATTCACCAACCTCCTTCCAACATACATCGTCTGTCAATCAGAGCGGAATCCAGCCCTCCCAACTCTTCCATTCTCGCTTCACTGTTCCTACCTGTCCGTCCATTGGCTACGTTTCGGCATACGCGTTATCGCTCTAAGCGATCTATCGTGTCCGAAGGAACGCGACGGTGGCATCGGCGATCTTTCCAAGTAGATCTGGCCGGCCAGTGATCAGACCCGGTGTCCGCAAGGTTTCCAGGACGGCGTGCAGCAGCAGCGTGCGTGGTGCGCGCACACGAGTTTAGAAGCGAGCGGGCACGTGTCTAGCTAGCGGCGTGTTTTAATCGGTGTCGGAAGAGCACTTCTGCTAGTAGATGCCGGCTCGGCTGTCTGTCTGGCAGCTCGGTGGAGCCGGTGTGTGTTCACGCGTGTGTATACATTCTGTGTGGGAGGAGAGGGCGGCATGGATAGACAAACGTAGACGGCGAGCGAGTGTGGAAGCAAGAGAGAAAGAGAGAGAGAGAGAGAGACAGCAAAGAGAGGGAGAGAGAGAGAGAGAGAGAGAGAGGAGGGAGGGCGGGAAAATTTGAAAGCGCGCGTACGGAGCGCGTGCTCCCGATGACGTCGCCGTTTTGGCAAAACGTGGACGACGTACAGGTGGCTGCGTGCGTGATTTCGGGATGATGACGGACGGGGGTGGGAGGGAGACAGACAGTGCCCGGTTTGGCGGGTAAGTTGCGGATCGTGTTTTTCGCGCGCGCGTCTCGCTAATCGGAGGAGGGCCCGCCGGAATCTCCGAGCCCTGACGCGCGTCCTAACGTGCCTCCGCGACGATTCTCTACTATATAGCCTGTCGCGATGGTTCGCAACGTTTCGATTGTTTACGTGTCGGAGAGTACTCACCGGAGTTGTAATATTCCTTAAAGTAGCGTGTCGCCGCACGCTGGACGATCGAGTAATACAAGTTCACGTACGACGTCGACTGGTTCTGTGCGGAGAGCGCCATTTACACTGATTTTTGGTCGCGCGTGTATCACCGTGTATATTATTACTCCTCCTTCCTCTTCTTCCTCCTCCGCCAACGACTGCTGCTCGCCTGTTTCTTCCTCTTCCTCCGGCTCCTCTTCCTCTTCTTCCTCTTCTTTCTCCCCGGTGTTTCGAAGATCAAAACGCCGGCATACGTGTGCACGCGTACACGCGCGGCGCGGTACACACGCACCGCGGCTAGGTGTCTCGTATCGGGAGCGTACGCGTAGATCGGACGCGCGGCGCGTTCTTGCTCGCGCGACGATCACGAGCGGACGCGGCGACCAGCGACGAACGCGCGAAACGTGTTCCCGGTCCACGGCTGCTGCGTTCTCTCTCTCCCGCTTTCTCGCTCTCCCTCTCTCTCTCCCTTTCTCTGTTTCTCTTCCACAGTCTTTCCTCTCCACTGTTTCCTCCGTTTCCTCTCGGTGTCTGCGCCGGTATCCTCTCGACGATTCTTTGTTTCTGCCTCGTCGTTGCAACCCTCTCCCGTTCCACGATAGATCGGC